CTTCTTCTCTTCTTTTTCTTTCCTACGTTTTTAGCTTTGTTTGTCACTGTTTTATAGGTAGAGGTAAGAATGTGAGTAAAGACAAGAAAAGCTTTAATGAGTTTATGCTTGGGCTTATGAGTGAGGCATATTAGCAACTCAAGATTACACTTTGAGTTGGCAAGATTAATGTTAGTCTATTAGCGATTATCATGAGTGGTTCCATATACCATAAGTAAAAAATAAACCTCTTCTAGGTTTGCTATGGATGGTGAATAAATAAATTAGTGGATCCTCTTAGGCATGATTATAAGTGGATCAATCAAGATTGTAGGGATTAACCTATTAAATCAAGTAGTCATTGCCACACTTTTTCATAAATTTTTCTTAGATTGAATTGAAGGCAGTGCAAAAGCAAATTTAAGGTTTGGTCAAAGTAGAGTTTAAAAAGAGAGTTGTTAGAGATGAAGGATCAAACATATAAATCATTTTCTCTTTTTAGAGAGATGATTTGTAATAAAGTGTGAACTCATTGCTCATATTTATATTATGCAATCAAGAGTCCCTACCTTAATATATATTAATCATGATGGTCTTAGAAGTGGTGAGTCATGGGATGGATACTAGTGGAGCATTAAACTATTTTGTTTAGGCTTGCTATTGAAAACTTGGGTTATAATGCTTAATTCTTTTTTGGGGAACCTTGCTATTGCTTTTTGAGTAGCTCAATGTTAAATTAGTTTTGAGTTTGGTCACAGAGAGTATAACATGAGCTTGCTTATGTTGTGAATAAAGTTGGTAGTGTTTGGTGTTGTAAATCTGTATTATTAGGGTATAACATTTATGTTGTATTTTGTTAAATAAAGTTGGCATTTGATACTCACATAAACTTTTGAAGTAATAATATAGGCTTGCTCATAATGTTACTTGATTGATGATCAAAATATTGAGATTTTTATATCATATTCATGAGATAATGAGCAATATGTTTACGAAATTGATAGTAAACTATTAGGGCTAAGGCAATTGAGTTGGATAGAGTTTAAAACTTCTTCAAAACATACTTAGAGTTGTTGGCTAGATGTATTAACTAGCTTATTATTGTACGATTGGATTCGAGTGGTTATTTAGTTTGTGCTTGTCCATATTCCATATTTTGTACATGAGGTATTATGTTCATGTTGGAAAAGTATATGAGTTAATAGCATGAATTTAGTGTTTTGGTCTTGTGAAAGGTAAATTGAAAAGTGATTGTTGGTTGCTTTGTGACTAATGATTTCTTGTAGACTTTATCAAAGACTTTTGATTTTTTTTTTGCTCGATAAAGATTTATTAATGTTGAGCTTACTTTACTAGATGGTGTTACAGAGGATTGTGTCATTAAACTTCTATGGTTTTTCTATGTTAGCATATTGATTCCATCTCTGTTGATATCATTTAGTTGCATTTAGTCTATGGTGATAGATTTCATTAAGTTTTAGATGTGGTGAATCACTTTTTGATGATATGTTATCTTTAACTAAGTTTTGTTGAAAGTTTAGTCTCGGATACTAAGTAAGATATATTCAACTTTGGTTAGCTTGGTTACTAAAAAATTTTGAGTGGTGATTCACTCTATTTTGGTGTTAATTATAATGAAATGATGCCTTGTTGTTAATATTGTTCATGTTGAGACTTAAGTGAAATGAGATGTCTCTTTATAAAATTGATATTAAGTTTTATTAGTCTTGATGCAGATAGTGTTAATAATTTAGCTGTAATTTTATATTATTGGCATTTGTGCATTTGCTAGTTAGCAACTTTGATAGTATTCAAATGAGTTGAGTAACAAGTTGAGTTAGTTGTGTTCTAGATGAAATTTTTTAGTAGTGATTGAGCTTTGAGGTTTTCCTTGAAAAGTGATTTAATTGTGAATTATGCTAACTTTATGAGAGGAAAAGTTAGTGATTGATATTAAAGATGTTAGTTTTTTATTGGATTTGAGTTAGGATATATTAATTATTAATGATTCTTTTTACACTTGTTATAAAGTGAGTTATGTCTTGGTATAAATGGATTCATAGAGAATTAGTTTGGTGGTCACTTGTTGAGTATAGCTTTTTTGTGCTTGGCTTTTGGATTGATATAGAAATGCTTTTCACTAACTTTGCATTATAAAATTTAGCTTTTAGATATGTTAAAAAGGATATTGTGGCTTTTACTATAATTTTTTCTTTAGAATTGACATTAATACAAAACTTTTGATCATTATTAAGTGAAATTTAGTTATAAACTTCTTCGAGCTATTGGTTTCTTGAATTTTCATGCTCATTATTTCATTTGTTAAGAGTTGTTAAGGAAGGCATTCTGGCTTATTAGCTTCCACATCTAGCAATTATTGATGATGAATAATTATCATCTTGGGATAGTTGATTATTCTTGCTTTGAATTTATTTATTTTATTGTTGTTGGTAGTGAATGACCTGTTGTTCTTCAGAATGGTAAATTCTTTCTTCAACAATGATTATATATCTCTTTATTGATTGAATAATTGATAGTTTTTCATGATAGTTAGTTGTTTTTTTTTATAGCTTTTGGCTTTCCGTAATATCACATGTTCTTTATGGTTTATTTTAGATTGGTTTATTAGGTTTAAAACATCGATAGGATGCTTGCTTACTAATGCTTACCTAAGCAATTTAAATTCTTTCATATTATTGACAGGATTTATTCAAATTGGTTAGTGTGATACTTGGTATTAATGTTGTGTTTGTTTACTTTGTAACATTTATTCTATTCTGCTAATTTATTTCTGCTAATACTTTTATATGTACATACATTTATTCTATATGTATGTATATATATATGCTTGAAAGCTTTTGCCTTGGGACTGAATTTGGTCTACCCCTTCTTATAGGGGTTTAAACCCTAATCAATATATTTATTCCTATACTTTGAGCACTTATACTAATATTTATATATAATTATAAGAAGTAAGATACTTCTAAAGCATAAGAAGAATTATCAATAAGGAATTATTCATCTAAACCTTAAGGTTTTCTTTCTAATACTCTAGTATTTACTTAGTTATTTTAATGAATATATATAGTAGAGTATAAGTCTGAATGAAATTTGTGCTTTATGCTAGAACTTTTTTTTTTGAGGGGGTAAGAGAATATATAAAAAGAATTGACTGAGTTCAATCTTCTTTTTTATGAAAGGGACCAACCTTTTATATACAATAGCAGACAAAGAGGTTGTGAGTTTAAGTTAATGTAAATGTTGAAGGCTGACTAGAGATAAAATATGTCATTTACTTATTTCAGTTGAAAGTTATGGTAAGTTCAAGTATTTAACAACTACACAGAAGGTTGTAACTAATTCATCACAACTCCATAATTGGCTAATGTTTTTTCCAACTATGCATAAGTTATTGGTGCCATAGGAGTTTCAAGAACATGAAGTATTAGGTGCCATGGGAATTTCAAGTTTTTGCAGTGGTGTGCAATAAAGTAAAAGCTCTAAATGGTCCACTAATCATTAAGCTTTGTCCATCTTCTGGAAGGGAGAATGGTCTCATGTCTACGTATGTCAAAAATCTATAATAATAAGAACAAAGAACCCAGACCCCCGCAGCCGTCCGATCCCAGGCCCAGGGCAGCCTCAGAAGCCATGGTCCTCGGAAAGGGGAGGCCACCCCAGGCCCGGGCCAGGTTCGGTGGCCATGGTTAGCGGGAATATCAGCTCAATGTTGTGGCAGCCAATGGGCGGGATGCACGTGTGGCCGGGAAAGGAAGAGGGCGTGGTGACAGGTGTTATGCCATGCACTCCTAGGGCTCCATGGCTGCTCTGCTGGGACACAGTTGTGTGGGCGTTTCCATGAGAGTCTGTGCATGGTAAGTAACAGAGGCGAGTAGAATGGTAGTTGAATCCAGGCTCCTCTTGGGATCAACTCAGGACTGTGAGAGGCAAATTGGCTCATCTCCAACTCAGCAAAGCTTTGATCCCTGTTCGCCACTACCTCACGAGCTCTTTGGCCTACAGGAAAGCAATTATCAAGGACACTCCCTCTTCATCCCCAGATTCTCTCGAGGAATCCCTTGCTGCTGGGCCTGGTGAGGGATTGTTGTTTCAGCACATGCTCGGGATCAACTTTGTTTGTAAGAACCAGGTGTTTTGAGTTGACGTAGGGCTGTCGAGTGGCTGCGCCAGCCAATACTGCTCCTGAAGTTTTGGAAATCTGACACAGCATTGATGTCTGGGTTCTCTCAAAAGAGAAGGAGAAGCAGAAGGTGCCACCGCAAGCATCACCTGGTTTAGCTTCATTTTTAGATCGAGGTAAGACATAAGTTTGAATATCTTTGTATTCTATGATGTGTAGCAACTGTTGGGAAAGGATGGGAAAGCTGGCATCAATCGGTTTGTTGCGGTAGCCCATGGATAAAACTGTAGTCCATGGATACATTATAGTCAGCATTCCAGAATCAATCCTAAGATAAATTTGTTTAGTATGACCATGTTAAACTAACAAAGTTCACCTACATTGTCTGGAGTTCAGTCAAGCCTGCAAATGATGGAACTGGCTGAGGAGAAAAGGAGTTGTTTCCAACGCTTCTATTATGCATACACACATGCATCAGGTCAATTCCAAGTTAAGAAGAAATATTACATTAGTTGGAGAGCTTTCAACCCGCTTAGATCAGGTAACGTTCCAGTAAAAGCGTCATCATTGATGTGTCTATAAATGAAACAAAACTTGAGTGCAAAGTAGTTACCATATTAGCTATTTACATTTCAAAGAGGGTTGATATCCGCCCCAAACTGCTCGGCAGTGATCCAGCAAATCGATTTTTGTCAAATCTCCTGAAAATACACTATTACACGAGATCGTATTCTAGCCATCAATGACTTACATGATGGTCAGCTTGGAAAAGTTTCCAATTTCATCGGGAACTTCTCCAGAGAAGCCGTTATCGTCCAGTAACCTGAAGGACAACAGGTCCAAAAACCTCCAAGAAAATGAGAAAGATACATAGACGTGCTTGAGTTCAGGTAAGAAACATATTTCTGGTGCGTCCACCTCTTTGTAAACCACCCAGCATTTGCTGGGCAAGTACTTGTATCATATAAAATTCTAAACTATCTATGTTCTTCTATGTAAATCCTACAATTTTCTCTCAGAAAATTTAAGGAATACAAGCTCTGCAAGAATACCATCTAGGACACTGCTTAGATTCTAAGTCGAAGATCGAAACAAAGAACACTATAACAGCATTTTACCAAGACCATTCGCGTTTGGAGTTCACGGCCTTGACACTGGTTGCAACGAGCGGCATGCCGCCAAAGAGTGTCGTGAAATAGTTGAGGCATCTTGATCTTTTGTGGTTGTGATCCGTCAAGCTGCTGATTCCAGAAGAACCAATCTCCACAACGCGGCCTGGAGCAAGCAATCACTTACAAATCCATAGCAAAGCATCCTGTGATCTCGCACCTTTCACCCAAATTGGAGGACCACCCGTTGCGTTTGCCACGAGAAAAGACATCGCAATGTCTTCGCAGTTCCTGCGAGTTGATCATCCATCAAAGTCGCACAAGTGAAGAAGAGCCAGGAAAACGAACCTCTCGTTGGCGACGTAGTTACGGATGATCCGAGGCATCTGGTGCGTGTAAAGCTCCAGATACTTTTTGTGAAAGAACGCGACCTTGGAAAGAACCATGCTGTATGATCCAGTCCACCAAACAGTCCACCACCCTCCATACTTGTAAGTAGTTTGCGCTGGATTTTGGCTCTAGAGAAAAACCAAGGAAAATGTGAGAAACTGTTGAAAGATTTTGTTTTTCCTTCCCAGTACCTTGGATTGTACCCAGTGCATTCGTGGAACAAAGCCGACCATGGTGTCTCGAGCACTGAGCCAAACGTGAAAGCAAACGCCATGGTGCCGCAAGAAACAAGGACGTCATCGTCCACGGAGAAGACGGCGTCGGTGGTGAGGCCTTTAATCGGTTTAAACCTGTTGTTGAGATTGTCTTCCCGGTTGATGTCAAAGTGGAGCTCTGGAGCTCGGGAGCTCCGGCGGTTCTTGGCGATGGAATCCAGCAGAGCCAAATGCAGCTCGCTGCTGGGCATCTCCGGCTCGCTCCACACAACTCGAAACGCGTCAATCCCCTTGCAAGTCGAGTAGTGCGCTACCGATTTCTTGAGCAAATCGTTCCTCTTCCAGGTGTTGATGAGCACCGTGTAGCGCCGCCTGGACCAAAGCGTGGATGTGTAGCCAAGAACATAACCGAGAAAGAAATCTCTGTTACCTCATGCGATCTTGACACTCTGTCGTTCCGTGCCTCCATCCCATCAAAGAAGACGCCCGGCGCGCGAGCAGCGCCGTGGACAAGAGAATCGCGACGAGCACAAGCAGCTTGATGTGATACGACGAGTGGCCGGAGAAGAAAATCCGCCATCGCTGGAGCAGCAACCGATGCTGATCCCTCTGCCCCTTCATTCGAGCCAAGAAACCCTCAGAGATCGACGATTCAAGCGCCGCCTCGCCTCATAGCGACCGCGACAGCCCTGGAGCTCGCAATGCCATACCCTAGATCGATCCAGCAGCGCTCCGCCAGAATCTCCCGGGCCAACGGGAGAATCCATGCCTCTTCTCTGTCTAACTGAATATTCCTCTGTGGATACGCAGGATCGTAACGGTTTTTACCGGTTTTACATTTTATTTTAACTCTAGGGTTTAGGGTATGGCGGAGCTCCGGCATCGCGCGCACAAGAAGGTGATCTCTGATCAGCAGCGGCGCCGCGATGTGGCGCTCGATCGGCAGAAACAGCAGCGCCGCGATCTCCAGCTGCATTTCCGGCAGCTCGCGACGGCATTGGAGGATCAGCGCGTTGTGGAGGAGGAGGAGCACGAATGGGGTCTCGCAGAGGGGGCGAGATTACAGGGGAAAGACGCCAAGAAATGGTTCTCTGGGCAATTCATGCTTCCGGAGTGGCTGATTGACATACCCCTAGGCCTCAAAAGTGACTGGTAAGAACAAAATTTCTAGCTTGCGAAAATTCCTCTCACTGCTGCTTCTTTCTTCGGTGGAGGTATGTCATGGCTAGACCAGCAGGAAAGCGGTGTATCGTCGTGTCCTCTAGAGGGACTACAGTTAGTAGGCTTCGCAATGGACGAGTCTTACACTCTTTTCCTTCGGCTCTGCCAAGTGGCGCTAAAGTTTCGAGTGGTCCCATTCAAGGAAGTTCTTCGTTCACAATTCTGGACTGCATTTTCCATGAGGTAGACTTTGTGAAAAGACTTCCTTTGTTTGTTGATCTTATCCGTGCAGGCCGATGAAACGTACTATGTTCTCGACATCATGTGTTGGCGTGGGTATTCGCTGTACGACTGTAACACGGAATTCAGACTCTTTTGGAGAGATTCCAAAATCGTAGAGACGGACGCGCTCAAGCCGCCTTCAACTCATCACCGTTATCGCTTCAGCTTGCTTCCTGTTTACGAATGTAACGCAAAAGGTTTGGAAGCTGCCTACAGGGAAGAACAGACTTTCTTAAGAGATGGAATTCTTTTTTATAACAGGTTGCAGACAGGTGTTTTTACGTTTCTCCTTCTAATACAATGCGTGTTCTGGACAGGCATGCGCATTACACAGTGGGATACACACCGTTAGCGTTGCTTTGGAAGGATTCTCAGTGCAGCCAATATTTGCTCGACACTGATGCCAAAGGCGAGGTTCCATCCCTTCAACAGGTTGGTACTACGGCGTTTTCTTCCTGGGACCAGCAAGCTAATGTTTTTTTTTTCCTCTTTTTTCGTGAAAAGGTAGTCCTCGAACTCAAATCTGATGGCACTGTTGGTACGAGTGATGATCCTTCTGTCATACTGGGGACCATGCCAAGACAAGTCCTTGAACAGGTTAGTTTAGCAGGTTATGGCTTTGGAATCTCTACAACCTCTATATAATCTCTACAAACTTCTATTCTCGTTCAGAATCCTACATTTCTGAAACCGGGGACATTACTTCGCTTTGCAATTGGAACGGACGGCTTGAAAATTGTCGACGGGAAGCCTTTTGCAGCAGACATTAATTACCAAGGACCTGCGAATAAATATCGCCCCTGTGCTGATAGCTGCACCAAGGTTTAATCTTGCACAGTTCTTGTTTTATGATGTCCTAATGTCTCCTTTTCCTTTTGCCTTTGCAGATTCTTTTCCAGTATGCTGCTCGGCACTCACCGATCAACATATCGGACATAGTGGCAGCTATAGAAAACCAGGACGTGGAGATGCAATGACGTCGTCAAAATAGGTGAGGCTATCTTGTTTTCTCCTTTAAAAGAACGTTTTTGCAATCCAAATCTTAAAGTGATGAGACTTAACAGGCTTCTTGGAGACTGCTCGTTCGTATTGCAGTCCGGAGATTGTCAAGTTCGTTGAAATGAGCTTTATGTTTATCAGGTATTTTTGATGTTTAGGTGGGATCCTGATGCTAAAATTGAGCGCTTTAGATCGGATTAAAGCCAAGAAAAGGAAGCGATCGTTCAAAGTCCTAAAAAGAAATGGTTGTATAGCTTGACTTGAGCAGTGCCCGAAATCTTATCCCGATCCAACGGTGGGCAAGACGACCATATCCACAATCTTTTCCTTTCCACGGCTTTGGATCCACGTGGCAGCAAGGCTGGTTCTTGTGGCCGGCATTCCACTCGAGGGGATTTCCGCACGTGACATGGCTGATATTTTGGCTCTCTTTTTTCCATCCAAGCGTATAGAATAATCACGACCCATTTGCTGTGGATAAGTAAATGCCATGTCAGCAATATCGGTCATGAACCCCCGTCGTTTTTTAGATTTCCTGCTACTTTATTTTATTTGCCGTGCCACAATGCATGGCTGGCCGGCTGCCACGTTGCGTCGCTTTATCTTTTACTTTTCTCGTACGCTTTGGTGAGTAATTGGGTCATATGACATGGCCGTACAAAATATCATGATATTTGCGTCACTAGCAGGGCCCTTTTGCTAAAGTGCCAAGGTATGTGAGCCAAGCATTCAAAAAACTTTACTTCATGTTGTGGGCGAGCAAATGCCACGTGGTTAATGTGGTTATTACCTTTATCGAATGGAATTCGATAGCTTAAATTAACTTAGTAATTTCATAACAGCAGTTAGTTAAGGCGCGCAAACTAACGACGAGTGGGAAAGCGGGGTTAAGGGTAGTAGGGCTTTGCTTTTTGGAAGGAGGAAACGAAGCTTTTTCATCGTCGGCACCACAAGGGGCAAAATGCGAGCTGCGCGGGACGAGTCGAGCATCGAGGAGCAGATCCTATCGTCGGAAGACCAGGTTTGCTCGATTTTCCACAGACCCAATGTGTAGATTTGAGCTTGGGGAGATCGTTTTCCCCCTTTTCATCCCTCTGAGAATCAAACTCTCTTTTTTCCCCTTTTTAGGTGCAAACAAATCACAGCGACGAGAGCTCGCAGTTGGATGATCTGGGAAGCTCTTCCGGAAGCTGTGAAGAGGACAAGCCGGATGGAGGGGGGAATCGCCGTGGCGACCAATTTCTCCTAGATCGCCCGGCGCCGGCGACGAAGAAGAAGAGAATCTCCAAAGAAGGAGAGACCAAAGATCGCGAACGAGAAGAAGAAGCGAACAGAGGAGAGAATGGCAATGGTGGCGAGAGAGACGAAAGCGAAGAAGACGGAGAGAGGAAGATCCAGAATTTGTCACAAGTACCACGAAGTGGAGAAGATCACCACCACCACCACCACCACCAGCAGAATCCCTTCCAGCACGAAGAGCAGCAGCAGCATCACAACTGTTCCAAGCCGGTGTTGAAGAAACCGGACAAGCTTGTGCCGTGCCCGCGCTGCAGCAGCATGGACACCAAGTTCTGCTACTTCAACAATTACAACGTGAACCAGCCCCGCCACTTCTGCAAGAACTGCCAGCGCTACTGGACCGCCGGAGGGACGCTGAGGAACGTCCCGGTGGGAGCCGGGCGGAGGAAGAGCAAGCACTCGTCCTCCTCCGCTTCCTCTCACCACCATTCTCATCCTCACCCTCATAGCAGTGACAATTCCTCCTGGAACACCACCAGCACAAACAATCACAACCACAGTCACTGTCACAACCAAAGTCGCTCCATGAACCACTCCCAGGAACAACACCAACATCTCCAAGATCGTCACCATCACCAGCAGCAGCAGCAAGAGAAGCAGCAAAAGCAGCAGCAGCAGCTCAAGAGGGATCTCGCGTCGGAACTCAAGCAGCGAGCTGGATCGCGGATGCGGCTACCACCCGTGATCCCTCAGGACCAGATGTGCCACTTTCCAACGCCCGCGGAGACGAGCCCCTCGGGGAGCAGCATACTCACATCGCTCAACTCTCCGGGTGGTCCGGGCAGCATCGGCTCCATCTTCAACATGCACCTGGCTGCGGCCGCGGCCGCAGCAGCCGCCGCAGCAGCCGCCGCAGCGACAGCAGCGGACAACCCGAACTCGCCCGACGCAGCAGGCAGCCCGGCCGGGAACTCGTCGTCGGTGTCGAGCAGGATGAATGCCTGGGTGGCGGATTCATCTGAAGCAGCTCTGACTCAAGCTGCATCGGACGTCAAGGAAACCAACAGAAACGGTCCAGGTGCAGGTGCAAGTTCAGGTCTAGGATGCGGTGGTGCAGCTTGTGTCGGAAATGGTGGTGGCGGATACAACATGTTCAGCTCCGCAACTCCGGCTTGCTTCCCGTGGATTCCATTCGGCAACAACGCGAGCAACGCCGAAGGTGGCGGCAATCCGGCCGAAGTTGCGAGCTGGCTGAGCAACGTCTGGGCCGCCAACTTTCCGGCCTGGGCTCCGTTCGCGGCAGCGCTTTGGGCTGGCGGAGGAGGCCCCGCTTCTTCTGCTTCTCCGATGGGATGGAATGTCCCGTGGGCGGCGGCGGCGGCTGCTGCGTTTGCGGCAGCGGCGGCGGCCGCCACCTCCACCACCACCAGCGCCGCCGCCACCCCCACGAACTGTTCGTTGAACTCCGCAAACGCGACTGTTCTTGGGAAGCACCCGAGGGATGGCAGCGGAGGGCGATCGCTCTGGGCTCCTAAGACGCTGCGGATCGATGATCCTGGAGAGGCGGCCAAGAGCTCAATCTGGGCGACTCTGGGGCTGGAGAAATCGGCGGCGGTCTCTCCGAGTGGTGGCGGCGGCGGCGGCGGTGGGAGGACTTGTGGATCTTCCGGCGGCGGCATTGTTTTCAAGTCGTTTCACAAAGGCAAGGAAGGCAGCGAAGACAAGGCGCACGCAAACCCGGCGGCGCTGTCGAGGTCTCTCAGCTTTCACGAAAGGAACTAAAAGAAGAAACGAAGAACAAAAAATGGCCACCACCGGCGGCGCCACCTTTTGTACAGAGAAAGCGAAAGTGTAACTTAACTATATACAGGCTTTTTTCCTAATGGTGAAGTTCTCTTGTTCGTACGGACTTGTACAAAATGTTCCGTTTACATTTTGAAAATTGTCCATCGAATATTCGTTCCACGGCTTTAGGGCTTGAGGTCTAGGCTTGGCAGGAGCGCGAGAATCTCGGCGGAGGTATGAGAAGGGAATGCGAGTGTGAGCGTAGAGTGCCCGGGATTTTGCGATGACAAGGAGGAATTCAGTAGCCGGGGCCGTGGGGAGGGGTATGGAGGAGGATCCGGGCAAGCTCGTCGCGCAGATCCTGGGGAATCAGGTCCGGGTGAGCAAATCCGTGGCCAAAACCCTACTCTCCAAGAGCTCGGGCGATGGCGCGATCGCGTTGGCGGAGGCGCTTCTTAGGGGCATAGTGCAGGGATTACGGTGTCTCGAGGCAGGCTTTGATGCTGGGCCACGAGAGGCCGATTGCTTCAAGACGCCATCGCCTCCCAGGAGGAAAAGAAAGAGACAGGAAGAATTGGCTGGGCACAGGGAAGAGGAACGAGGGATTCCTTCTAGTCGGCAGCGGGTTATGGCAGGATTGAGAGGCTGTGTTCTTCTCTTGCAAGCTGGGCTCTCGCAGTGCAAGAAATTCTTTCATCCGGCTCGGCTACTTCCAGTGGTTCAAGGCCTTCACGAGAAACTAGTTGTGCTGGAGGATGACCCCGAGCTCCAGGACGCCATCTCCGAGCTCTGCGAGTTGTGGTGGCGAGAAGGATTTGATGGAAAGGAGTCGCTCATTGCACAGTCCCTGCCATTTCTCATGTCAAGATCGCTCACTTCCAACCGCAAAGTGGATGTTCATCGCGTGTATGCTGTGAGGGAGGCTTTCTTTCTCTTTGACTTCCTCGACGGCAGTATAGAGGATCTGAGGCACTTGCTCATCCGGTCGGTGGTCACTCCAGCGTTTCTGCGCTCCGCAGAGGGTCGACGTTTCATCTCTTTCCTGTTTGGACTCAATCCTCAGCTCGTCAAAGAACTCAACGCGCTCATGCATTCGCAGATCCCGTTTGGGAGGAAGTCGATACTGGAGGCCTATGGAGACATTTTATATCGGGCTTGGAAGGGAGCGGCCGGAGAGATCTTGGTGGAAATCGAGAAGTCGTGCTTACAGGTGCTTGTGGAAGGAGCGATATATGCGGCTAGCAAGACTTTGAGCTCGGCTTGCAGAAAAGTGTTAGAAGGATTCATTTCACAGAGGGCGGAAGCTGGTGTCGAGGGAATGCTCTTTCGCCTTCAAGAGCCACTGCTTTTCCGTTCTCTACAAGTAAGTTTGGTTGCTTCTCATTCTGGCGTGATCTAGCGCATTCGTCTCCTAGGTGGCGAATTCCAACGTCAGGCGCAATGCTATTCTTTTATTGATTGACATGTTCCCTCTTCAACATCCCGAGGCGTCCAAGGAGGAAAAAGAAGCATTGATCGAGAGGCAGTTTGCACTTATAGAGAAACTTCTGCTGGATCCTTGCCCTGACGTACGAAGTGTTACTGTCGAAGGTGCGTGCAGAATTTTACGTTTATTCTGGGAAATCATACCTGCAGCAAATACCGCCAAGCTCCTCACCAAAATCGTGAATGATATTCCAAGTGATCAGAGCAGCAGCAGTGCACGTCTAGCGGTTCTGGAAGGGGTGACTTATTTATTGGAGAATCCTCACAGTCATGATATACTAAAGATACTGCTGCCGCGACTCTCTCCTATGCTAAACGATCCCGCAGTTACAGTAAGAACAGCTGCCGTTGATCTTCTCTTGGCGGTCAAAGGTATACGAGGCATTCCTTTTCACAAGGTTCGTAATCAAATTTGTCATCAAAACTTAGAAACTGAATTTGAATCTCAGGTGGCGCGTTTGGACTCGCTTCTGTCTATGCTTGCGGATGACTGCGATACCGTTGCACGTCGACTTACGAGGCTGCTGATACCATCATACTTTCCGACCAAAGCTCGTATAGTTGAGGCATGCAACCGATGCTGCACACTCATAAAGCGTTCTCCATCGGCCGGTGCAAGATTTTGCTCTTACGCTTCAGCTGAAGGAGTCCCTGCCGAGTCACTTTTTGAGCTCCTGAAGTTCCTTTGTGGCCTAGCTCTACCGGATTCGGAGTTGGATCAAGAACATCGAGAAGGTGTACTACTTGCAGTATCAGAGCTGGGAATGAGCTTAGTCAGTTTGGGACAGTGGAAGATCGCGGTTGGATCCCATCTGACTGGACAGCTACTCATGTCTCTACTAGGAGTAGCGGCTACATCCCAAACACGGAGCTCCATCGTCAGGCTTGCCTCATCGCTTCCTGCCAAGGACATCCCAGAGCTTGCTAAGTACTGCGGGGACCTTGTTATAACTTCGGCAAAGGATCTCACCGTTTTGGACTCCTCCAACGAGATCAGGGCTGTCAACTCGTTTGTGCTTTCCTGGGGAGGTTTCGAAGATCTAGCCGGCTCCCTTGTAGACAAGCTTGCGAGGTTCCGTGAGAACACTTCACTACAAGAAAAGCCTGGCTCTTCCAGGAGAAACGCAAAGGCCAAAGCCAGCAGGGTGAAGACTAGAAGCAGTCCGAGACAGAAAAACTGCGACACACTTTTTACTGCTGCTGTTGGAGCGGCCTGGCACGTACAAATATTTCTGGCCGAAAGTGACACAAGGAAAGCGTTGCTAGCATACCGCGGTCTGCAGGATCTTATTTCTCGCCTGAGGCAGCTGGCGGAATACTGCATGAAAAATGTGGAGACGGTCACCAATCACCGACTGATATCGTCAGCGATTACTGCTTACGCAAATTTGACGATTCATATTTGCCTCGAGCGGAAGAAAGACGGGAACGTGAGGACCTCAACGGGAAGAAGGAAGAGACACCGGGTGGACGTATCCACCACAACTCCAGTATCAAATCCTTTGGTAAGTGCCTGCCTGCTAACATCTAATCCATCTTTGATTTGTATTGTAGGACGGCTTTGAAGACGTTTCGGAGGATTTGATTAACTTGGCACTGGAAATGCTTGACCGGCTGCAGACATTACAAGGTCTCTTTTTCTTCTTTGTTACTTTTATTTTATTCATCATTCATGTTTATCGTTTCAGGAAATATTGCTGTCTATCCGCTTCATGCAATGAAAATGGCATCGGCAACGTTGCGTTCGGTTTTAGAAGCTTTGAACCTTGGACTTTCAAGTAATGGAACTCTGCATTCCAAGACGATGCGCCTGGCTTGCTCAATTTTTACGACAATCCAAGCAGTGGTCAGAGGCGGAGCAGCAGCAGAAAACTTACAGGAAATACTACCTTGTCTCAAGGCTTCGGCATCATATACAGGAAAGCTTCTTTTCCTGTGTAGAAGGGACAGGGGTCCACACTACGCTGAGGAACCAACGCTTGCTCATGACGTCCTGGATACTCTCGCCGTCATCGAGCAACACAACGTGGGAAGCTGCGTTTCACTTTTACCGGCTCTAAGGCAGTGGATTCCAGATATCGTTGCTGCAGTTTCAGAGAAGGTGGACTCGTCGGATACGGAAACTGTCCCCGCCTGGGTCAAGCATGTAGCTGCGGCATCGAATGAGGCTCCTGAAGGTTCCGAGGAAAATAACAGGACAAGAGACGATGGGAATCCCGACAACCAGGTTGGGAGTGTCGATCTGACGCAATCCATTCTGAAGGCTCTTCCGAAAGCCAGTAGAGAAGTACAGGAAGCCTTCGTTTGCCTTCTAGCACGACATACAGTCTCGTGCTTCGAAGGCAGTGATTACGACGAAGGCGTTGGATTAGTGCATCTAATATGTCGGAGGATATTGCGCTCCAAGGCCAGCTTGAGCGGCTCACTCCAGGACGATTTCACAAGGGTTTACAACAGGCTCTCGTCTATGGATGACGAGAGATTTCAAGCGACAATATTGCTTGTGAAGGAGGTTCTATTGCCATGCGAAAAGTAATGGCATGTAGCATACTGTCTTACCATTTACACTGACCTCGAGAAGGCGAGTCGATGGTGAATTGGCTCCATATACTCAGGTAATGCTCAAAACTAGCTTTCGTTGTTATTCACTTACACAAACTTGGCTATTGCATGCAGAACAAACCAACAGACTTCTTTTATGTTAAAGCTGTACATCAACTTCATTTTTTGCTCTCAGTAATAGTTGAATCTCTGCGTTCCACTGTGCATACTGAACTTTGGACCGCCATCCTGGTGACGGACTCTGTAGTGTCCCGGTCCGGGCCCGTTGTTCCTTCGGTCGTAGTCTTTGTCGAGCTTCCTTCCAATCGAAAAAGAAGGTGCGTTTCTAGCCGTCGCTTTGTTTTGACCGTATTCTCCCGGTCCTGGGGTCCCGTTCTTTGGACCACCACCTTTTCTGTGCAGGATGCTGAAGGCCGGGCCTCCCGAAAGTCTCGGCGAGTAAGACCCGGGACCGGGTCCAACAAAACGAGGAGCTTTCAGAGGTCTGTATCCCATGGTGTATGCTGGCGTCGTCCGAGGCCGAGTATGCTCGTAACTTCCAGGTCCGGGTGTTGGCTTTCCATTTCCTCCTCTTCTCTTACCTCCAATGGTGTATGAAGGACTGTTGGAGCGCTGCTCCGCGTTGTAGTGCCCGGGCCCGGGATTAAGGTTCCTCATCCTGGAACTCGCTCGCCCGAGCATCGTATACGCCGGCTGCCTGTGAAGAGCTTGAGACAAGCCGGACTCAACTTGATACTGTCCAGGGCCGGGGCTTCTCTCGACTTTGTCTGCCTTCCGGTAAGCCATGGTATACGCTGGTCCTTGAATTCCTTCGGTGGGTCTGTATGCTCCAGGTCCAGGATTCTTGTTCAAGACGGCCTTTCCAGTCCGATAACCCATGGTATAGCAGGGACTTTTCGGCCTGTTATTGGGACTGTAAGCTCCAGGCCCAGGGTTATCCGCCCAGCCGTGAGGATGCCTCTTGCCGGAAATGGTGTACGAGGGGCCAGTCATGCTGCCTGGAAGACTATACTGTCCGGGGCCGGGGCTGATTCCACGGGGGAAATTTATCTTCCGCGAGCTCATAGTGTAGGCGGGCTCATTGGGATGAGTAACGAGGTGCTCCATGTTGTAAGTTCCAGGGCCGGGCACAGCGATCTTCTCCCGGTCGACAGTGGAGATTTTGGCATGGATGGAGTAGGATGGACTGGATCGGCCAGTGTCTGGGTAGTATGCTCCAGGTCCCGGGCTCTCCAAGTTGGGCAGTCCGGTGTGGGGCTTGGGAGCGATGGTGAAGGCCGGTGGCGTGGGTGTCACGGGGCGGACGCTGAGATTGTAGGCTCCCGGGCCGGGAGTCTTCTCCTTGCGCAGCATCTCTTACGCTTGGTGGTGATATCGTCTCAGACAGAGAGTGGTGGACTCGAGAGAAGAGGGTGCCTTCGGCCGAAAAGAATGCTGTGCTTGGTAGTTGGGCTCGGGTTTCAGCTGAAATGCCAGCTGGCAGTCCATGTCAGGGTAGTTAATTTTCATCTACCAGGTCATCATGGTAAACAAAGGATACGGACTCAGGACAAAAGCAGGGCGACACAGCAAATAAATAAACAATTTAGAGCAACATTATATGATTGCAATTTAAGACATTATTGAAAAACAAAGTACTTTTATGCTTCTTTGATAATGAGAATATAATATGGAAATACATCGTCTAACCATTGAAGATAATGGATACTTGATCCTACATTAATAACCTTAAAACAATTATTTGGAGAACTATTCATTTGTTATGATTCATGAATTAAAAATTGGTATATAAAAAGACATAAAACAAAAATTATTATATTCATTCCTTATAGATGTTTGAAAGCACTACATATGTTGCTCCATGTCCTGGATCCCTGGCGAGAACATGCTCTGCTGCCATAGCTCCATCCTTGTGGCTTCTACATGCCGCAAGCAAGCACACCCATTCGCGAGCAGTGGGAACAAAGGGCATGATTCGAATGAGATCTTTTGCCTCATGCAAGAATGATGCTCGAGCCAGCATGTCAATCAAGCAGCAATAGTGCTCCTTTGTTGGATCCACGCCAAAATCCATCCCCGTCGACAGAAACAATCTCCGTCCTTGGAAGAGATCGCCGTCATGGCTGAATGAAATCAAAACCGAGAGAATGCTCGTTGCATCGGGGAGATGTTCGAGTTTCATGGCGTGGAATGCATCGATCGCTGAGGAGTGATCGCCGCTGCGAGCCAATCCGGAGAGAACCGCACCCCAGGACACGAGATTTCGCTCTGGAATCCCATCAAAGAGCTTCTTGGCGGCGATCATCAGGCCCTGGCGGGTGTAAGCAAAGAGGAGAGAGTTCCAGGTGATGATATTTCTCTCTGGAATGCAATCGAACAAGAACCTGGCGTGATCGATGGATTCGGCGCCACTGGCAGCGGCATAGGCGACGAGCAGAGCACTCCATGACAAAGAATTCCTCTCCGGCATCGCATCGAAGATCTTCTTCGCCTCATCCGTGAAACCCTGGCTTGCAAACGCCGAGACGATCGCGTTGAGCGTCACGATATCCCTCTCGGGCATCGCGTCGAGCACCGCAAGGGCACCTTGAATTTTCCCGCCCTGCGAATATGCCGTGAGCATGGAGTTTGAAGATACCAGATTCCACTCCGGCATCGCACGAAAAGCCAGCTCGGCACTCCGTACGTCTCCGTGCAGTCCGTACGCGCCAACGAGAGAGTTCCAAGAGACTAGGTCGCGCTTGGGCATGGCGTGGAAGAGCTCCACGGTCTCTCGGAGATGGCCGTTCTGCGAATAGCCGGCTAGCATCGCGTTCCAAGAGACGAGATCTTGCTGTGGCATAGCGTCGAAGAGATTCTTGGCGTCGCGCAATCGTTGGCCCTGCGCGTAGGCGGAGATCATCGCGTTCCAGGCAATCCAGTCGCGCTGCGGCATTCGATCGAAGATCGCCGCCGCGCGCTCGACCTCGCCGCTTGCGGAGGACGCAGCCAGCAGCGCCGTCCAGGAGACCAGATTCCTCTGCGGCATCGACTGGAAGATCTCCAGCGCGCGCTCCAGTTGCCCCTTTTGGGCATGCGCACTCAGCAATGCGGTCCAGGCGATGGAATCCCTCTCCGGCATTGCCTCGAAGATTGCCGCTGCTCCAGTGATCTCTCCTCGCTGCGTGTAGGCCGAAAGAATCGCCGTCCACGAAACTAGATCGTGCATCGCCATGGATCGAAAGATTTCGTCGGCGCCCGGCAGATCCCCAGCATGGGAATGCGCGGAGATCATCGCGTTGCATGCGATGAGATTTGGGCTCGGCATCGCGTCGAAGATCGATCGCGCCTCGTCGAGGCGGCCATTCTTGTAGCAAGCGGAGATCATGAGCACCCAGGTGTGGGAATTTCTCATGTCGATTGGCATGCCGTCGAAGAGCCGGCGTGCATCCTCCACGCTCGCGCAGCGCAGGCCATACATCTCGATCATCTTGTTGCAGACGAATGCATCGCCAGCGATGGTGTCTCGGATCGAGGAATGCGCGCTCCTCGCCGCTCCCAGATCTTTGCAAGACTCGATCAGTCTCACACATTCTCTGTGGTTCATTTAAGTCGTGCTAGCGTATTATTACCAGTGTCCGCTTTGATAGATCAACCAAACAATGCTAGTGTCTATCCAGGATCTCGAGCTGGATTGATCAAGATCGCAGGAACTCTGACAAAGTCACACTCAACATTTTTTGATCGAGACGAGTCCCGATTCCTTCGACACGGCTGTGATCGAGGCGGCCACGTCCCTCCGCAAAGGATCGTAGCTCAATCCTGCGAGGAAAACGAAGAGCGCCGCGGAAAAGGAGAATCGGCTCTTCAAATTTGGTTATCTCGAGCTGGAAGGCCGGGAGTTTTTCCATTTTGCAAATCTTAAACCTGACACGAAATACAAGGTGGCTTCCACGCGTGAACTATAGCGGCAACTTCAGTTGCAACAATGTCTATATCACCATTCCAATTTTGTATCGTGCGTGAGCACCAGAAAGGCTGACTATCTCATCCATCTCGTGCGAGTAAGACCCGGGCCGTGGTCCAACGAAACAAGGAGCTTTCAGAGGTCTGTATCCGATGCCGAGGCTGGGGGAAGTTTATCTTCTGCGAGCTCATAGTTTAGGGCGGGCTCATGCCGATGTTGTAAGTTCCAGGGCCGGGCACAGCGATCTTCTCCCGGTCGACAGTGGAAATTTTGGCATGGATGGAGTAGGATGGACTGGATCGGCCAGTAGCTGGGTTTAGTATGCTCCAGGTCCGGGGCTCTCCAAGTTGGATAGTCCAGTGTGGGGCTTGGAAACGATGGTGAAGGCTGGTGGCGTGTGGGGCGGACTGAGATTGTACGCTCCCAGGCCGGGAGTCTTCTCCTTGCGCAGCATCTTTTGATGATGATACCTTCTCAGGTGAATCTGGACATAGAGTAGTGGAAGTCGAGAAGAGGGTGCCTTGGGTTTCAGCTGAAATGCCAGCTGGCAGTGGATGGCAGCTTTTCCTAAACCAACTGTTGCGGTTAAATTATCTATAATATTATTATAGTTTTAAATAAAGTAGTATATATTTTAACTTTAATTTTTATCATTAGTTTAAAGAGCTCACCCATAGCCCTCAAATTTGCACCTTGCAAAACCTTGCAAGAGCATGTTTATATAAATTTGCACCTTGCAAAGCCATTTGTAAATCAAGATACTGTACTTCTGCAGAAAACACGCATGGCATAGTCCAAGTGGCATTTTCCAATAGGGTGGAGTCCAGATGCCAATGAAATAGGCATATAGGTATTTCAAATGGTACATGACTACGAAATTATTCACATGTGAGTGGCATGGATGACCTATAGGTGATCTCATTCATTATCATTGTCATTGTCTAAGTGTGACTTAAAATTCTTGAGGAGTTGTTCTTAACCATGTTGTTTAATTTCAATAGCATGGCAGGTTGTTATGGTAGCTAAATTGGTTTGGATTTTGGCACTAACTAAAGAAGTTTACAATGAGTAAGTCTTGCCCAAAGCTTAGATTTGTGAGATTGGACTCAAATGAAAATGTTGAGAATAGGTGGAGAAGGGTGTACCATATAATACTAATAGAGGAAGGTTTTAACCATGTCTGGATTAATATTCCCATGAATCATGCAAGGACATGGTGGGAAATTATTAACTTTTGCTCTTGTTATCAAGCAGTTGGTTACCATATTAGTAGGTGCTAAATTTGTGAGGCATTCAATTTGTATTCACCACCTGCATATATTTATACAGTGTTGATTCTTAAATAGTTTGTAAGATAAGCCATGGTCTTTGTGTCTAGAATCTTCAAGTGCATCCATATGTGAAATGCTGTTGCACTAGCAAATCCCCTCAACCTTAAAAAATTATTAAATTCTTACAAGAAGTACCATAATAAAAACCCTCCAATTCAAAGATTCATCCACTCACCACTGGAATGTCACCATTTCCATCTTATTGAAATTGTAGCCGAATAGTAACCCCATACATTTTTCATCTTCCACTAATACAGTTTTATATGATTAAAAAAGGTTGTAATGTAGACATCTGTCATGAATTCATCAATAGATTTATACCAACAAGGCAATGTTATATGGATTGTAAGTGTTTTTCTTCTTTGTTTTTCCAACCATTATTTTTGTGCTTTTGTAGCATACTACAAACTTGTAATTTACAGGTTTTATGTCCATGCCATGATTTATAGAGCACTTTATTGTGGTTTATAAGCTGTCTATGAGGAAAAAGGCCCATGCTATTTTCAACACATATGCACAACTTGTATATTGCTTTAGGAGGCCGAAACGAATGAGTGATAATGCTTCAAAACACAATGGTATGTAAAATTGTATGATCTAGTGCTGGGGTGTAAAGGCAAGAATCATATGCAGAACATCAATATGAAACTAAGTAATTTATTTTTGCTTAAAGTTTACCTTTCTAAGACTTTTTTTTAAAGTGCATTAAGCATTTGTGGCAAGAATTATATTAGTGAGTGGTGTGGTTTTACAAGCATCTCTTTGAGTCTATGGAGGATACTGGTATTCTTAATGTAAGCAATGCGTGGCATAAACAAAGCTTACAAAGTGTATTTTCACTTTATTTCGCAAAAGACATTGTTGATTGGGTTGCAATATAAAATTTACATGAGGTTCATCCCTTTAGATGTGGTGAATACTTTAGAGCATCCCACATCCCTACTAATTTATTTCAATTGATAGAGTGAGAACTCAAGTAAAATCAAGACTTGTTTTGCCAAACATTTTGGCATTGCTTAAATTATTTTCTTTTTATCCAAGATAGTCCAAGCTCCTTTGTGGAAGGATATTAAAGATTTGCCAAGGGAACTCATTTGTAGTATCGATAGAACAACTTTAGGACATATTAGTTTATTTCAATTTGCATTTGTTTTTCAAAGCCATTTTGTTTTAGGAAGTTAATTTTGTAAAAGACCAAGCATTTGCAATACATAAGGAAGGCTTAAACCCTGATAAGTAATATCTCCTTCATTTGGATTTGTCTATAGAGTGTGTAATAGTTGAAGTGCAAGACCTAGATTTTGCAATGTATATCAATACTACACTATCAACCACAACTCTAGTGAAGAGAAGAGATTTACAAAAATTACATTTAGGTTTAACTAGCACCAGTTTCATTCTTCTTATACTCAATATATTGACTCTATATCAAAGATTTACTTCTATAAGTAGTAGATTTGATAATGTGAGTATTGATTTTATAATATTTTTAATTAAACTTCATATTAAACACAGAACCTAATCCAGAAAATTTAATCTTATTTGTGAATATTTTAGGCATTTTAAATTGAAAATATAATAAGCATTTAATATACCCTAAGGCTATATTAAATTTAAGTATAAATTTAGTGCTTTATTATATTATTTAAGAAGTAGAATAATTAGGGTTTTTATTATATTGTATTTTAATGATTGGTACATAGTTGGCTACCTGTCCAGCCTGTTGCACAAGATGGAACTCACAATTGAGTTGTTCATGTTTGGATCTTCTACATGTGGATCATCTACACTCAGATCTTCTACACTTGGATCTTTTATGCTTAAATATTCTACAACATCACTCAACACACACAAAGTTGGTATTATGGTTGCAATGACAAGGAGCCTCCTAGGACTCAACATCCCATCTAAGCATATCCACCATGTACCACAATGGAGCAAGGCTACTCATTGAAAGACTCAACAATTTTGAGAATGTTGATGTACTTACACTATAAGTCATCTGTTAATAACTTGCTAATCATTTGCTGAATCTTGCTGATCACTTTTTTAGAAGTTATCACTTCTATGAATGATGCCTTTTGCCAATATACCAACCTAGAACATAATGGTTTCATCCTGTCCTCATGGTTTATAGTTTGTTCTTGGAAAGTATTGCTAGATGTGTTGAGAGAACTCATGAAAGATAAATTTTAGGTTAATGGTTAAAGGTGGCCAAAGTTGTTAAATTTAGGGTTTTTATATCGGTTTAGGGTAGGGATTTAGGGCATAGTGACACGCATAACCAAATTAATTATGCCTTGGATTTCAAATGATTTTCCCTTATTTGATAACTCCAAGATTGAACTCTGCTTTATTGAGAGAGTTATGGTGATTTAGCAAAAGTGCCCATCGAGTGTTGGAAGAATCATTATGATTGTTCTCTATGGCGAGTATCATGCCTCTATTTTAGTAGTGATTGATTGTTTCACTGATTGTGCCATCACAAGTTATACCACCAGGTCCTGTAATGTAAAGAGGTGGACCCCCAACTCCACTAGGAACTTGCCCCTATATGGATGGTGTTGTGGCTGTTTTGCCAATTGCCTTTGAGCAGGTAGAGCACTATAATGCATTCCATACATTGTAACATATGAGCAACATTTAGTAGGTTATGTTTTCATCTCCTTAATGTCACGGCTCTGCTAATAACATTTCCTCCCCACCACAATTAGGGCTAACACCACATCAATAAGTTATTGGGCAAAATGCAAGACCTTTTACTCCAACCCTAGTTTCCACATAGGCTTCTAGTGCCATGTGAAGCAGTAACAACTGCAGCCCTAGTAGAAGCACTACAAAGATCAAGTCTGTGAGTGCTTCCCCAACCCCATCCACCTCCTAAGAAGTGACCAATGAGTGTAAGTGTTTTGTCCATCTTATTCTATTAAATGACTC